CTTTTTTTTTTTTTCCGGATCATGGGTCTTTTGAATTCTTTTCCGTTTTTGGTCCCCTTTTTGTTCTGATTTTTTTTCTGGAACTTAGTCAGAAGAAGTCGTCCTTGGCGACAAAGAAGATTAGCATGGCCCCTGCACAAGGATGACATGCATAAATCGAGAAATGGTCCAAATATTAGAACTCAGAAGAAGTCTGCCACGGTTCTTAACCATACTTGCGGCGCATATGTGCGGTACGGTGTGCGTGGCACGATGCGCAAAAAAAAAAAAGAAGAAGAAGAAGAAAGAAGTGGCCATGATATGTGTATAAACGCGTGCGCGTGCGCGCAAGAGAGAGAGAGAGAGAGAGAGAGAGAGAGAGAGAGAGAGAGAGAGAGAGAGAGAGAGAGAGAGAGAGAGAGAGAGAGAGAGCAAAGCGCCTTTTCACATAAATTAGAAAACCCCTGCGGGTAATCTGAAAGGCCCCTGCAGATGATTAGCAGGGGCCCCCTCACCGAGAAAGAGGCAGGCATTTTTCAGGGAAGTAGCAGGCCGACTATATGATGTAGAAGCAGTGTAGATTCAAATTCAGATCCGTCTTTCAGCAGTTATGGGTTACTAACTTACTAACTCAGCACGTGATTTTCAGGGCTTCCCTCCACTACTCACGAAATGTGCAAAACTAGAATGAATCTTCCGCTAGAACATGGAACCATACGTGGACATATGTTTTGTCTTTTGTGCAATTGGTGGACTAGCGGAGCGAGGCTTTTCGGTCCACTGCACGTAAGAAAAGGAAAACGAAAAGAAGAGAGTGGTACTGTAATAAGTAGTAGTAACCCATAACTGCTGGACCACAGACCTGATTTCAACTCCAGAGCATATATTGGTGGCCTGCTCGTGCCAAACTCGAATTTGTTTTGATGAACATCTCTGCGAGAGAAAATGGGACCCTTGCTGATTCTTTGCAGGGGGCCCTTCGGAAAACAGACTGGATCCAATGAGGAGTATGATGTGGCCCCAATTTTTTTTTCCCCTTCCTTCTGTGCACTTACTGTTTTCAGAAGGGAGGGCCACATTTGGCTACCACAGCCTGCCCTTTCCAAAATTTTTAATCAACCCTAATTGTTGTGGGGTGCACCGCATCATGTTCGCTATGGGCATGGATGCACGTGCGCAGCTCGCAAGGTGCATGTCGTCATGGACCTGAGGTTCTTGTGCTGGCAAGTATGTGAATCTTAACCTTTTCCGACTGCAAGTTTACGTTTCCAGTTAAAGTTTTTAAACTCTCTGTTCTTTGAACTTCTTTCCGTGGATTGTGATTATCTACACTGTTTTGGAGCTTCACCTGCGGGAAACGGGGGGGGATCTAGTGGAGTCGCGGCAAATCAACGAAGTCCAAAAAAACTTAAATAAAGAGGTTGGGTGTGTCTGTGAGACATCGAAGTCAATATAATAATATATGACTATTCCTTTTGAGGTGGCATTTGCCAAAAAAGGAAAACTTTATCCAAGACCATTGTGGGAATTTTTGGGTGAGTTTTGTTGCATTCTCTGACTCGGCGGCATTCCTCCGCAAGTGCCAACGAATGTTTTTTTTTTTTTGGGTGTTTTTTTTTGGCTGGTTCTTGGCGGCTTGCCCTGCGTCATTGTCAAGTTTTCCTATTTCAGAAATTCACAGAAACAATTTTTTGGTTTGTGTGCAGGTTGAAGTGTCAAGAATCTGGGGAAGAAAGTTTTGAGAAGGAGACGATATTTACGTTCAAATGTCACATCTCCCAAGAAACAAAGGATTTGTACGAGGGGATGAAGCAGGTGTGTGTACATTCCACACTTCGTTGGTAAAGTTACCTGTGTATAGGGAGTAGTTATGGGCCCAACAGTGCCCTACGTCATCGCTGGTGCTCTGTTTGTGTGCTAGTTTAGCTCGAATCTGAATAGTTTTATGGCCAGGTCCATGCTTCTGACGAGCATGAAAAAAGCTCAGTAACGACCACCGTACGCGTCATACTTTCCACTGTTATCGGGGAGGGCCTACTTTTCCCCAAGATTGGGACAAAGACAAAGTCCGACAAACACAACAAGGTTGGACCTTTCCCTTGCAGACTGCCAGAAACTGGTCCATACACTAGTGGGCCTCGTCGGGCTTACCAGGTCCGGATGTCAGGTAGCGGAGGCTTAGAAACTTAGAAACTGGTGATGTCAGAATTCCTCACGGAACTGTAGATGAAAAAAAAAAAAAGAATCACACTAAGGTACCCCCCTTTAAAGATCAAACCTTAAACCCCTTTAGCCCCCTTTAAAAACAATTTATACCCCCCTCCCCCCGCCCTTGACAGCCAACACTCAAAAAAAAGAAAAGAGCTGAGATTTGGGCTCCTCTCGGAGAGCGTGGAAATCCCCCACAGCCAAAAATAAGAGGGTTTTTTTTTTGCCCCCATGGCCGGAAGACTGGCCGGTCCAGACCGTCCGGTCGTGAAAATCTTCCTAGGAAATGGTCCATTTTTTTCTTAAAAAAAGAGAATGTGTTTGTGCCACTTTGTGGTATTCAAGTCATCTGAACATGGCATGGCTGGTAACCTGTCTCTTATACACATCTAGATGTGTATAAGAGACAGGGTTTAACAGTTTGAAGCATACATTTGTCAATCT